ATCCCCTCTTCATGGCGGGGCTGGAGCACACGCAATCCACTAGCCTGCTCCCCCACCCCAGGCTCTGCTCTGCGCGGGGAATGGGCGGAGGTTTGGGGGTTTCTGGGCTTTTGCTTCTCACTTGTGTGCAGCCCCCGGCTGATTTTTCTGTGGGTCAGCGGCCCCCGGCCCAAACAAGGTTCCCCGGCCCTGAAGGCAGAGACAAATCTGTCCTCCTCTGGGAATGGGCGGAGGTTTGGGGGTTTCTGGGCTTTTGCTTCTCACTTGTGTGCAGCCCCCGGCTGATTTTTCTGTGGGTCAGCGGCCCCCGGCCCAAACAAGGTTCCCCGGCCCTGAAGGCAGAGACAAATCTGTCCTCCTCTGCAGAGTCCAAGCGCTCCTGCAGGGGAGAAGCCCGCTCCCGCTCCCGCTCCGGACACCACCCAGCTCCCTCTCCGCTGGATTTTTAGCTTTGCCTCCTTCCTCGACCAGGGACCGAGTCCGTCTGGAACTCTGCGCGGTCCATGGGGACCTCTAATGGCTGAACGGCACTTTGCAAGGAGACATCCCAGAGCCTGCAGGCTGGATGGACGGATTCACACACACACACACACAGACACAAGCTCTTTGGGGCACCTTGTCTTCACACACAGAGACACGCACACACACAGACACAAGCTCTTTGGGGCACCTTGTCTTCACACACAGAGACACGCACACACACAGACACAAGCTCTTTGGGGCACCTTGTCTTCACACACAGAGACACGCACACACACAGAAACTCTTTAGGACAGCTTGCCTTCACACACACACACACACACACACACACATTAGGGCACCTTGCCGATTCCTGTTTGTAAATATCAATGATGTTCTCCACCAGCAGATTCCTCTGCAGGCCGTAGACCCCGTGCCGGTCCAGGACCACCTCGTGGCGGCAGGACGGGCAGCGGAAGCGGCCCGCAGAGCCCAGCGTCGTCCCGCGAGACTGAAACACAACAAGCCCCTACATTAGATGCCTGCGGGTGGGTTGCTCGGCTGGCCGGGAATCCCCAGGACCCGACGCATGCGCCGCAAACCTGCCACAAAGGACGCCAAGAAGGGGGCGGACGGTTAAAGGGCACGATTGCAGCGCGGCAGCTAAGTGTGAACACGAGCTAAGTCACAGCCCAAAGGCAGGTGATGAAAATCCCCCAGGCGGAAGAAGAACATGCCTCACCCCTCAGCTATGCTGAGCCATCGGCACATGACTCCAGGAGATCATTCTGGAACTGCTACCAGAAAGAAAAACTTCTCTGTGAATGTGACGTGGTCAGACTCGCTTCTTCTCCATTAGTGTCAACCAAAGAAGAAATGAGCCCGTCAAAATCAGTGGTGATGAGCAGCAAAGAGCCAGGGAGGCGTTAAAAGCTACAACAACCTGATCCTGATGCCATGGCCCAAGCACAAAATTAAGAGAGTGCACAGTCTGAGCGTGGCTCTGATAAAGGCTTCCAGTGTAGCCTTGGGCATGTCACTTTGCCCATCAGTGACTCCATCTTTCCCTCTGTACAATGGAGACAGTCAGACTTACAGGCCTGTCTCAGGTGCGGTGATGCTTCTTAATACAGGTTGAACCTCTCTGAATAGGTCCAGCCCCACCGGCAGCCTGCTACCCCGCCAGAGCCTTCAGGTGCTCCAGCTGCCCTGCCACTGGCCCAGCCAGACTGGTCTGGCTACATCTATGGTCCAGCAGGACCACAGATGTTTCTGGGCCAGCAGCAAGAGCCCTCTGGGGGCTAGGAGCCCAGACAGGCTGGCTGCAGGGGGGCCAGAGGCTGGGAGCCCAGTTGTGGGAGTCTGGCTGGGCCGGTGGCAGGGCAGCTGAGCACCTGGGGGCTCTGATGGGGTAGCAGGCTGCTGGTGGGGCCAGGAGCCTGGTGAGGCAGGGAGGATGTAGCCGTGAGCCCAGCTGGGCCAGTGGCAGGGGCCGGGCTGGGAGTCCAGAAATGACCTTTCCTGGTCCAGCCAAATCCCTTGCTCAGGGTTCGTCAGGTCCCGAGGGGGCCGGACCAGGAGGGTCCAAACAGTGAAATGCCATGTGTGCTACGAACGCCCAGATCGCCACTAAAGAAAATGGCGCGTTATAGAGCTGCCAGTTTGCCAGCCCATTCCTTCCGCATCAGTAGCCCCTCCTGTCTACTGTGAGCTCATCCCCACTGAGCCACGTTTCTCACTCTCGTGGTGCGCAAAGACATTGCTCGATTTTGGGGAAACTTCAGTCCTTTTATCAGAGGCCAGGTAACCACGAACTTCTCTACAGGCTGAACCTCTCTAGTCCGGCACCCTCGGGACCTGACTGGTGCCGAACCAGAGGATTTTCTGGACCATGGGAGGTCAATATTGTCTATCACTAACACTTCCACTGCCTACCGGGCTCTGAGAAGACGTTTCAGGGTCAATTAGAGCTAAACAACAACACAGAACACCGAGAGCCAGGACTGGTGGCTGTAAACAAACTTCATGGGACCGTGGGCAATTTGGCCACACCCGTGATAGATGGACACACGGCTTATAAAACCATGCTGGATCACGGATGTTGCCGGATCAGAGAGTGCTGGACTAGAGAGGTGAGGGCATCAGACTGGAACTCAAACATTCTAGTCCTGTCTGCACCAGAGGTGACAGTCTGCGGGGGCGCCCTGGTGCGCAGCTCGGGCAAGACCTGGCTGAGCTGTGGCAAAAGCCAGCAGGGAGCTATTGAAAGATCTGGCAGGGATCTGGGTTGCAATAGGACAGGACCTGTCAAATGTTAAGTTCCTGTCACCGCACACAAGATCCCTGTGTGACCTTGGCCAATACCTTTCCCCTCCCGGGTGCCTCTGCCCCCCATCTGCGAACAGGGCCTCGGTCTCTCTGACCTCACAGCAAATGGGGCTGTTCACATCATTCACGTTTCTGAGGCTCCTTTGCCAGAGGGAGCTAACACTGGCCTGGCCCTTGGGCCCACAGGAGAGTTCAGCCCTTTTGCAGAGGTTTGGGTGCATGAAAGTTTGGAGTCTGGAAAGGGTTGATGAAGAGGACAGTTTGGGGGCACTCTCCTTCCCAACTCAGCTGATCAATCCACCCGGCCTGACCTCTCCCTGCCCACTTAGACACACGGCCACAGGACCCTGGGGTATCAGCTGGTTTAAATCAACACCCACCCGGCCCCCAGGAGCAGAAGGCTGAAACCGGGGTTACTCACCTGAAATATGTCATTGGCGCATTTCCGGCACAGGTTGTGCTGACAGGGCAGGATTACCACCGGTTTGGTGAACATCTCCAAGCAAATGGGGCATATGAGCTGCCTCTCCAGGCTGTCGATGGGGTGGTCTCTCCGGTAGGAGCTGTAGTCCATTTGGAGAGACATGACAAGGAAGCCAACGCACCCTCCCTCTCCCGGCTCCCCCAAACCCAGCAGCCACAAGCAACAGAAAAAAGGAAGCGCTGGGGGCGAGGCCTCCGTGGCCACGGACTGGAGAACGGAGGAAGAGCCCAGGAAGATATGGAAGGGGAAAGCCGCCTGCCACGCAGCTTAAGCACTGGGGGCAGCTGTTGGCCGGGTGGTCCCTGGGGCTCTCCTTCAGCTCCACTTTAGGACTCTAGGAATTTGATAGCGGAGGCGGTTTCCCTCTCAAGTTACTATTAAGGTTCTTGCTCCTTTCTGGAAGGAGAAAAGGCTCATTTGGTTGGACCACACTGCCCAAGGTCAGCTCATCGCCCGACAGACGCCCTATGCCCATTCAGTCGACACACAGCAGGGGGGACACTCCGGCTACGTCTACACTGCGAGTTTTCTCGGCAAAAAATATGCTAATGAAGGGCTCATTTGCATGAGTTGCGATCTCATTTGCATATTTTCTGCCAATCCGTTTTCGCCTAGCGGTTTTTACGCAAAAACAGGCAGTGTGGATGTTTTCTTTTTGCGCAAAAAACTCTTTTCCTGCCAGATCGGTAAACCTCCTTTTTGGGGGCATAAGGATCCGGCGGGAGAAGGGGTTTTTGCACAAAAAGGAAATGTCCACACTGCCTGTTTTTGCGTAAAAACCGCTAGGCGAAAACGGATTGGCAGAAAATATGCAAATGAGATCGCAACTCATGCAAATGAGCCCCTCCTTAGCATATTTTTTGCTGAGAACTTGTAGCGTAGACATAGCCACTGAGGCAGCGACAAAGAACACGTACCCTCCTGGGGACCCGCGTCCCCCTCATGCAAGGAATCTCTACATTGATGGGGGAGCTGTGGGCACTGCTGAAATAGAAAGTGAGCGATCAAGAGCAGGGAGCACTAGCAAAGGGAAACCCAAAGGGCAGCTGGATTACGGGACGGCGAGAGGTGGCCGCGTCGTTTCTACGTCCCCTACCGCACCAGTGGCAGCCTAACGGGAGGATAAATCTTGGCCTGGCGCAGCTCCCACGGCCACGACTTAAAATCAGAGGCAGTTGTAGAGTGAATGCAAGACGGGGTAAAATTACTCGTATCCAAGCCAAGCCAATGGCAATTAACCTTACAACCAAGTTAACAGCAAGTGGACGCGAGGCCCCTGGGAAAGAGAAACGCCAAATAGTCTGAATCTTTTGATTTACCGTCTTATCTTTCAGGCCTTAGGGTTCAGATGGGGACACACCACATTCCCATACGCTCCCCACATGGTGGGGGCATGACTGCCCACCCACACTGCCAACCCTGCCTGGTGTGTTTTTGCCCTCCACACCTGGTTGGGCCTCCAAGACAGACCTGCCTCTCCTGTGACCTGACACAGCCTCTTCCTGGGGCAACACTGGGGGGGGCGAGGGGAGGCACACAGGACACATGCACCCCGCCCAGATTTCTGCCAAGCACGGTGCTAGAACATGGCCAGCAGCAGCCATTCCTACAGGAATTATTTTGCAGAACTCATCTCTCCCCCACTCCTGCCACCCTTCCTGTGTGGCTGGAAGCAGCGTGACCCGTCCTGCCCTCTGTCTCAAAAGGCAGCTGACACCTGCAGGCTGCTGCTGGCCACAGACACAACCCAGCCGCCTCCTGTCCTCTGGCTACAGCGTGGGTGGGAAGGGGTTAACCCCTAAGGATGCCCTGAGCACCAGGGCCCTGGAAACCTGCAAGGGCTTCCATAAACTCAGCTCAAGGGGTGGATGAGCTGGGGAGGGGGTGTAGGGGACAAAGCAGCCCCACGTGCCCTGGAAGCAGGACAGCGGGCTGGGGGGAGGGGGGGAAGGCAAAGAGGGTGCTAAGCCCGTCCTGGGGCTGCTGTGGAACTTGCAGGTTCAGGATGTGAATCTGCTGGAAATAAGTTCCCCCCCACACACACTCCTGAGCTTAGCTGAGAGGGAGGGAGCTTCCTTAGAGGGTTGCCAGATGGTTTAACCAAAAATACCCCCCCCCCCCAAAAAAAACCGAGGAAAAAAGGGCAGAGACCAAAGTTGAGCCCCCCCCAAAAAAGGGACCCCAACAATTAAGCAAAAATAAATAAATACACAAAAAAACCCAGCATGGCCCCTTTAAGGCCTTTGGGGCTTTTTGGCGGGGGGGGGCAGTGGATGCTTTCTTCCTCTGTGCCACAAGACAGTTTCGCTGCAGAACCAGGTAAGCAGAGGGGAAGGAGTGTCCGGGAGAAGGGGTGCATGTATCTGGAAGGGGAGGGCCGGGGGCTGGGCCCAGTTGCTGAATGTCATAAGTTTTCACCTCCTGGCGGGGGGGAGAGGGGGAGGAAAAGAAAAACTCCAGACATTTTAGATCTCCGGTATTTTCTGATTTTTGCTAACTGGACAGGAGGCAGAAATCCCAGACTGCCCAGGTCATGGGGTCCCGGGAGAAGGGGTGCATGTATCTGGAAGGGGAGGGCCGGGGGCTGGGCCCAGTTGCTGAATGTCATAAGTTTTCACCTCCTGGCGGGGGGGAGAGGGGGAGGAAAAGAAAAACTCCAGACATTTTAGATCTCCGGTATTTTCTGATTTTTGCTAACTGGACAGGAGGCAGAAATCCCAGACTGCCCAGGTCATGGGGTCGAAGAAATTCCAGGGGGGGCACGAGGCAACCTAGCCTCCCCCCATCAAGTTTTGCTGCCCTGTTCAGTTCCCTTTTTTTTCTTCTTCTTCTTTTTTGCTCAACAAGTTTTGCTGCTATTTGGGGGGGGGGGGGGCATGAGGGTTTTTTTCAAAAATCAAAAAGGGGGGCATGATGCCAAAATGTTTGGGAACCACTGGTCCAGGTCAATACCAGACACCTGGCAACCCTACTTCCTTATGCCAGCGCTATACTGTGGGCTTTGCATGTGCTGGGCCCAGCTCTCCCTGGACAGCACTCAGGGCTGGAAGGTTGGCCTTTTCCTGGGCACGGGCCCAGAGGCAGCAGGCAGGAGCCGGCTGGCCAGGCTGTTGGTGAGCAGAGGGGTCTGATCAGAGGCCGATTCCCTGTGCCCCGCAGGGAGGGATACAGAGGAGCAGCAGGGCTGATGGGTAAGAAGCAGGAGGCAACACCACTGGCTGCCAGGGGAGCAGAAACAGGACAGGGAGCAGAGCCCTGCCGGCTGAGACATCATTGCAATGTCCTACGCCCAGGGGTGTAGTGAGGATAAATACATTAAAGGATTGAGAGGCTCTCAGTGTGGGTACTTAAGCTAGAAGAAGAAACCTCCCCTTCTCAGTGTGCTTAGACCCACAGACTTCGTTTTCCACACCCTGTGGATTCTTTGCCCTTGCTGATGTGCAAACGTACAGGCTTCACCTGATGTATGGTAGTTTCCAGTTTATTCAAAGGGTCTCCTGTTATAGATTAACTGAACAAGCCTTCACAGCTGTTCTTTTAAGAGTAACAGAATGTCAAGCTGAGCATATGTATAAATCATTCATAAAAACAAACAAGCATCAGAATAAATGTGTCGGGGGTTTATTTTCATGTGTCATTCTAGGAAAACCAGCTGTACATCAGCAAAGCTTTACAAGAATATACAACAATTTTGGCCATTTAAGAGGTGCTGCATTTCTCCCCCCCCCCCTTTTTGAAAATTTGTCTGTGTATTTTACACTTGCCTACTCTTTGCATGTATGAGTCAAGGAATTAAAATTCAATGTTGCATTGCATAGGAATGTAGCACAATGGATTCTGGATGTAGAGTTATGGGAGAAAAAAGTGGGAGAATTTTGGGGGGTTAAAGGTGAGGAAGAGTTGTGAAACAAGTGCATAGGATTCCTAAATCAGGTTATTTCAAGGATATTTAAATACTCACACAAGCCAAGAACCAACAGGTCTGTGCACATTGAAGTAATAGGAAAACCTGTAGTGAAATCAAGTACAGGCAGAACTCCCTCGCCACCTGAAATCCAACCTATAACACCCCTACTATTCTAGTCTCTGAGTAGCAACCACTAAGTGTGGCACGATGTTCATGAGGTAGACAAGTGCTCAAAGGTGCTAGGTTAACACCCTCTGTGCTGTGGCTGACAAAGTGATGCATCAACAGCCCAAGAAGGCTGCATTAAAGATGGAAAGAAAAAGCCAAAACAACTGTTTCTGCATTGAAAACATTTATTTTACAACAGTGGATTCAGATAATTTAGCAACCTTTATTTTAGTTTATATTGAGACATACATTGCACAAGTTACCATGCTAAAACATAAAATAATTCCTTCTGCTTGAACCGTATCTATGTACAGGAGCTCAGTAGTATCGAGTGTTACAATCCACAAAGTCCAGACAGCCACAGGTACTTACATACAATTCAGAGTATGGTCCTTTAGTTACATAACAAAATATATATATATGTCTATACATATATCATTGCTTTTCAGATGCTTTACTCCTTTGATTGTTTTTACAATTGCTAGCATTTTTTAAACAAGGGCTTTTCCCTCACCCCACCAGAGCTGAAATACAGTGCAAATGTGAAATGCATTCTCTCATTCCATCTTCAGCTCTCATGGGCTTTGTAAGCAGCCGATATGACAAACCCATCGTGAACTGCTCACATGCAAAACAAACTGTGTTGGATTCAGTGACATAGCAAACCAATAGCCTCTCCACTCCTACCCCAACACACGGGAGGAGGTGGGGGGACGTGGAGAAATGAATGGCATGACAGCCATTGGTGCAAGTGGCACATGCACGAAAGAAGGAAACCTCAAGAGCAAAAGTTCTTTGAGCTTGGCAAATATGAAGGTCCATCTATTGGGACAGAAACAAACGTCATTTCAAACATTTAAGCAGCAAAAGGAGCCTTCCTTGATCCCTACAGATTTTCACATTTGGGCTGATTGCCATTAGCAAAAAGAAAAACCAACTCTGACTTGCGCATGTACTTTGTGATCGTGCCAGGCAACAGCCATTTGGCCTTCGCTAACCAATACAACTAGAAGTAATTTGGTGGTAACTTGAAGTTTGGCCCTGGGGAGGGAGAGGGGCTTTGAAAAGCTAGTTTTATTTTACAAAACATCAACAATTCCATGACACCCTTTTGAATTCAATCTGTCTATAAGCAACAAAAATTGGGGTAACTGAACCAGACAGTGCAAAGGCATCTTATTATTCTAGCAAGGAGGGAAGACTTTATGGACAAACAGAGAATTCCCCCTATGTGTATGGCATGACATTCTTATTCTAAACACTTGACCTAATTCTGTTCATACCCTAAGATCCTTCATCGTTTCCTTCACTTGTCATTCACTGGCAGATCTACTTTTTTCCTGAAGTTGAAAGGAGAAGTGGTGATTCTGGGCACACTAAACTAACTTCTTCGGCTTGTCTGTCCAAGAGTTCATAAGAGTAGTGTTGAGGCAAATTTCATGTTACACCACCAAAGAGACAGCAGCAAGAACTGAGTGCATATACGCTGTATAAATATACACACGCCCACATACAGACACACGCACACGAACCTGCAATCCTATACGTACAGCACAAGGTTTGGACCTCTGAGATTTGCAAACTACATTGACCCCCTGCCCATGCACTGGGCACAGTGTAGCCAAAACCAGCACCGAAATCACAAAATAGCAATGTATTTTGTTACACCTCCAGTGATTATCATACTGATATTTAAGATGGCTCTTCACAGCAGCCCACACAAGTTGAAGTCATTCCAAGGACTGCCCTTACCCTCTGTGCTATTGTTGGCTTTTATTTCTTTTGTTTAAAGAAGAGCAAGAACGGGCTCATACCAGCTTCACACAGTCTCATGGGACAGAATCAAATAGCCGCTGACAAGCTTCAAATCAGTTTTTAAATCTTTTGGAAGCCACTGCTGCACACAAAATATGATCAACAATCATCCACCCACAAAAAGGGCACAATGTTGGCTGTGAAAATGTAGCAGGGAAGAAGCTATTTAGGTCATAGCTGTAATGTAACCGTCTGATACCTATCATTTCCCTCTCACAATAAAAAGATGGTGCATGTAATATGGGCATTTTACTTTCAAATGAAAATTTGTGTCTCTGAATTATGGAGTTTGGCGTGGCAGGTAAGAGAAACAGCTGCCCTAATGTAGCCAGGACTTTGGAGAAAGCACCTTCTTGGAATGAAACTAGGACTTCAGGCTTGTAATTTCACTTATATTACACTCAAGTCTCCCAATGCAGCACGTGAAACAGAATATCAGCACTCACAGGACTTGAACACTGGCAAGATTTCCTGACTTTTCCCTTCCCCATATAGCCAACAAAATTAAGCTTTCCAAGCCAGCAGTGGTATTTCTTTCAAAGTGTAGGAGAAGCTCAATGGCACACTACAAACGAAAAGGCTCCATCTAGAGATAGGAGAAGTGGCATTCAAATGGAATGCATGCTCCGTTCATACCAACCTCACACAAGAACCATCTGCAGAGGAGCTGGGTTTCGGTGTTCTCGCCCAGAGATGAATACAGGCTGCCCAGCAATATGGAGGCATTGCAAAGCGGCAGAAGCCTATCAGTTTACCTAGCAAAGATCCCTTGTAAAAGCTGAGCTAATATCCAGTTGCACCGGGCAGGGAAAACTGCAGCACGACACATTTCCTAATGTTTTTGGAAACGTCAAGAACACTGAAGGGGATCAGACAGATTCGAAGAACACGGACTAGTTATGGAAACAGGGTGCCCCACTCAGGACCGGTGTCCATGCCTACTAATCAAAGTCTAGCCCTATAAAAGGGCACACAGGTCCCAGCGCACTACATAAAATGACCCTTGTGTAAAATAGATCAGAAACCAACTTCAATCAGCTCTCTAGCTTAGTTACATCTATAGTGTAAACAGGCTCTGACAGGATGGGTTTTAAAAACTGTAGTCTCTCTACCACACTTAGTCTCATCTTCTAGTACCATATTAATAACGCCATTCTTCTGAACAGGTTGTGCACATTTAAATTTCAAAGAGCATCATATATTTTAAACACTGAGCACTAATATCTAAAGCAGTTTAAAAATGTTACAAACCCAAAAATAAGACTAAAGATATGGCTCTAAAATGTCACTGCATGGAATTAGCAGAAGTCTACATATCATCAGATTCCATTAAGACATTTACATAAACAAATGTATATACAGATAAATAGTTAACTTCCTACATACATTACCAATGGAATTAAACTGGCATTTAACAGGCACAGTGCCCCATTAGTCACTTCAAGTGAAGTTTCTCACTTGTCGTTTGTTGCACTAGACGAAGTTTGGGGACTTCTACTTCCAGAGAAAGAATGGGTCACAATAAATCTATCACCAGTTACTTCAATGGCGGTTCTGCCATTATGCAAAGTGGATGGTATTTTAAGTATTCACTCATATGGAAAGCAGCAGCTTTGTTTACTTAATCTTCTCTAGGATTCGTGTAAAGTCAGTGGTCCTTAAGATCAGTCATTAGGGTACATCCCAAACTGGGCTGTCTCAAAAATCTCACCCAGCATGTGGAGATCAATTGGTTACGTTTCTATCTACTAAAGGAGCTAGTGCTTTGTATAGATTTTATGAGCTAGACGGGAACAACTGAACAAGCTAAACAAAGACCCCAGGAAACTCAGAAAATCTCTCTTATTAATGTAACTTTTAAAAAACCTTAAGTTCAAGTTAAATCTGGCAACACATTTAACATGGAATAACGCTGCTTAAGTTAAACATTTAGAAGGAAACATTCTGCATCCAAGTCAGTAACAATGGCCTTTTAAGTTCTCTTCTCTTTTTATTTTCCAGGTTTTGGAGCCTGCTGGAGCCTCCCAGTGAAGCTGTCATGTCAATTCTGGTGCAGCCCCATGGAGCTGGAAATGCTTGCTGCTCCTTAGCATTGCAAGATTTTAGCGAAGGAACCACTAGTTACCACCACATTCTGTATTCACGAGGTGTGTACAAAGCTTGGCTATTCTGTAACTATAAAAGTGCATGTAGTAGTTTTAGAGCTCAGGATGCCTGTGTATAATATATGAGTCAATTGAAAATAAATGTGGACAGTTTAGTGACAGGGCCCCTTTTTAAATGAAACAAAGATGAATAAAAAGACTGGATAACTCAAGTCTTCTGGTTACATAATACAGTACAATCTTTTTTTTAAAATAAACTACAACTAAAATAACCATGTTTCATATAAAAACTGAGAAGTTAGGAAAGATCCAAGGATGAGACTCTTATAACAAATCTTACTTTGTAATATCTGAAATCTTTCCAGTGTAAGAGAGGGAGTGGATTAGGTCCTGAGATCAGAATTCTGGTATCTCTTATAATATAACCACATATAACGATGCATGGTCAGCTAATTTACAGCAGATGGATGTGGACACAACCGCTGAAAGGAAGCTAGCACTTTCTGAATCTGGGTCTTGTTACGTCATTAAGGAAGAGGACATTATGGACCGTAGTGGATTATGAAGTACATATAAATGTGTTACCAGCCTGAATCTTGTCTATTCCCCTCCCCCCAATGCCACTGTGGTGCACTCTTAAATTTATCCTCATATAGCTTTTTCCAAACAGCATCATAATTGAGGTGCCGTCTTTAACTTTCATTTTCTTATCTTCGGCAATTTCATTGTTTTAAGATTAGCTTGTATTTAAAAAGTACATAGGACCCCTACACTGTTTACAAAGAATACAGTGAGTTCTTACAACTGACTTCCATGGAATTTGAAGCTAGAGTTAAAAGTCTCCTCCTGCATTCACTCTCACTCTGAAACATCCCAATGACTTTACTGTTGCAAATGAAGTGCCACAGAAACTAAGAAACAGTATCGGAAATTTCAAAACTAAAGATCAAAAGTAACTTGGATCCCTGAAACAAGGAGTCACAACTTCTTCACATTAAGCGACAATTCAAATGAAATGATGTTTGCATTAGTAGCTCTCGACCAGTAACCGGGGAAGGAAAAATATCCTGAAGTGTAAGTCTTTCCATCATTTTACCAGGACCTTCTGTCAGCTCTGTGGCTAAAAGTACAGTTAACTTTTGCCCAGTGGAATTCACTGACATGTTCAGATCACAAAAGCTGCTTTGCTGGTAAGATTCTAGGGAATTAAGTTTGCACATATCTCTTTACGTTCTCTGGAGTACAACATAAGTACAGGATTAGTCTATAAAAGGCCATTGTGACCCCAATTTTCAACTGGAAATTTACTCCCCATCCAAAGGGGTTAAATCAAGTCTTTAGTTAAGCAAGGACCTAAGATCAGATTGTGACTGATCGAGACTGCACCAAGTTTTTTTTCCCTGATGCTAAATACTAAAACAAAGAGCAGAGCTGTAAATCACTGTTTGCCCAAGATACGCTGGTAATAGCATTCAAGCAACTCCAAGTTTGTAGGACTATCAGCCTTAACCATATGCTACAGAGGGAAAATGGCTCAAATGACTAAGCGATCTAAAATCTGTTAAGTGCTGCAGATTCCCTTTGGATACCACAGCAGCAAGATCCAAAATTGCCAAAAAAACACACTTTTGCCTGTCCCAGACTTACATGCATGCAATTGCGTCCAGACACCTGGCAGTTATGGTGAATAAACTACTTTTAGAAAAAACCTGATTTAGTGTGGAGAATGCTAAAGAATTGTGTGTCAAAGTCTGGCAGGAATCCAAACCAGAGATTTTAAATAATTTCATACTTTCACTGTGTGCAAGGTTGTAGTGAAAGAAATTTGCATGAACATTTTTTGTACAGCTGGACAAGGCAGAAGCCACCATCTTCCATAACAAAGAAACTATGATAGGTTAAACCCAATGGTAGTGCTTTGCTCTGCTATGGCAAGAAGCCGTAGCTCAGTTCCCAGGCTCTTCTCCTCTAGTGACACTTGAGCAGTTCTAAGTACTTTCTCCAAACTCACGCCTCTGGCTTGTGAAAAAGCAGCATGGAAGAATCCCAAAAGGAATGTTGGCTGGAAGGTTATCAGTCACCTTGCTGGGCTTGAAAGAGAGAGTATGTGTGTGTGTGTATATTTACTAGTGACTCCTCAATCTTTATTCAACATTTTCCGAGGAAAAATTTATTAGAAGCAAAATATACCAGCAATTTAGCTGAAAAATAAATGCTTCTGTAACAGCTGAGCAAACCTAAAATTCTTAAATTAAACCACAAGTTGTAAATATCTAGACATGATTTGATTTCAAGAAAGTACAGGAAACTGTTTAGTAGTTTCCATAATAATTTATGTGAAGAAAAATAAAATGTTTAAGTAAACAAATCTAAACAAAATACTATGTGCAAACTTATATAATATAAACACAAAATGAGGTGCATTGTTCTTAGCCATTTACACATTCCAAAAAGTTGTTCATGAAAGTTCAAGGGACATTGTCAAGTTAAGAGCATTTTAAAAAAAACAAGTGTCCCTAGCAGTCTTAATAGCATTTTAGATGATTAAAGGATAATTTTAAAAATCTAATTTGCTTTCCACCATTGATGCTATTTGTTTACTTTCTACGTTTTCTTCATTTGCATAATGAAAACAGACTAATCAGCTTCACTTTAAGATTGTCATGCACTAATAAGAAGCTGCAATAGCTGTTTATAAACACTTCATAGAGGAATGCTGCAACAGTTTATGCATGAATAAAGAAGCCCATAAAATCTTTCTAGTAACATTTGGGTTTTGTCACAACCTACATTAGCATATACTATCAGAACTCATATCATGCATAAATAGAAGCTGACTGAAAATTTTATGTCTGAAGTGCAAAAACAAATGAGGGAAGCATGTCCAGGGTAGTTTTATTTATGCTGAAAATCAGCATTAAAGAATTCCTACCATACATTGGCCTTTTTTGGTTCTTTGCATTGTAAACTTGCTTGGACAGAGGTGTTGGGAAAGGCAGGAAGGGCTAAAAACAAAGATCTTAAGACCTTTGTCGCACTCTCAGATCTTTACAGTTCAACTGTATGGAAGCAGAGCAACTTGTGTGTGACTGATTTTACTCACTCTTTAAAAGATCTTTTTTAGGCTGGTACTACTGCTTAAAATGCAGAATGTCTCCATCACACCTTATTGTGAAAATTCCTCAATACATAACACAGACATTTAACGTAACTCCATACATGCTATAAAAACAAAAAACAAAAACAAATAAGACCATAGCTAAACTGCTTTAAATACTGCATGCTACAGCACTTCATGTATCATCAAGATACGACACTGAAGGTGACAAAAGGCTCAAGGGATTACAAAATATTCTCGGCAGATTGGAGGCTGCCTTCTTACTCTGGCAAAACCTTTTCCCCCTCCCCATTTGCTATTTCTAATGTTCATGATTCTAGTGTTGAATTGGCCATGTATATAATTATCCGTTCTCAATCAGCATTTCCTTAACTTAGTTAAATCCATCAGTGTGGTAGCTGGGGTGAGAGTCAGTTGTGAGCTGGGTCGTCTCTGTGGCTGATGCTGGTTGTATCACAATGGGTGTGTCTGCAGCCTCTGAAAAGGGAAAGCAACGTTTTATTGCATTGGGGAAAACAGTTTCCATGAATTTTTGGCAAGTAGCAGGCAGTCACGCTGCCCAAGGACAGTACCAACAATACTCTCCCACATGCCTCTCTTCTGAAGCACTATGAATTCATTATTCTCCAGTCAGATATCAAATCAGATGAGACAACACCTGCGTACTAGGTATATTATTTGAAGGGATGGCATTTTTTAATTTACCAATGAAGAGCCAGCCATGCATAAAGCAGCTATTACTGCTTTCCCTCTTAAAAGCATTACAGTCCAGACGGAGGGTATGTCTACACAGCAGTGTTATTTAACAAAGTGTGTACACACAGCAAGCCATTATTTTGAAATAATGGCGAGCTGGAGGACTTTACTCCAACTCCTGAAACCCTCATTTCACAAGGAGTAAGGAAAGTCAAAGGGAAAGTGTTGTTCTTTCAACTTCCTGCTGCGTAGAAAGCACCAAAAGCCGAATTAAGCTATTTCAACTTCAGCTACGCAACTGACATAGCTGAAGTTGCATAGCTTAATTCGACTTTTGCCCTGCTGTGTAAACATGCCCCAAGTGAACCAAAACAAACTCAAGCGGTTTCCTTTTAACTCAAAATCATTTGCTTGCCTCACAGACATAAGTTTCACTTATCATTGCATGGAACTATGTAAAGACTGAAATAATATTTTCACTTGCTAAGCCGATAGGATCTTTGGCCTGTCACTGAGAGATAAGCAAGATAAGCAACCAGCTACTTTGTTGCCCTCTCTAAGCCTAGAGGTGATCTGTGGGAATTGGGTAGGAGAAGAGTTTGGGACCAGCACGGGGACGAGGCTGCAAAGCAGCATAAAAGCAGCAGATCATTCTCCCCATAGCTCCAAGGCAGCTGGACTCTATAGAGGAATTAGGAGCCTGAGGGATGGTCACTCTACCCATAATTTGAGAAAAGTGCAGCACGTAATCCAGCAGCTGATGCATCAGTTAGAAAACGTGAATGGAATGCAGGGTTTGTAACAATAGACAATCTTTAAAGGAAAACTCAGATTTCTTGTTCATTGATCATACTGAATACACTTATCTGGGAAAGCAGCCTTCTTCCCACATACCTGAGGCAGTATGCAAAGTTGCTCTTAACTTAAATGTGCTGCAGGTGTGAACGACTATACATAAGCACAAGAATCTGGTGGGTTTATTACTTCAGCTTCTCCATCTCCAGTGGCCTATTTCTTACCTGCTGTAAATGAGACTTACCCCTTTCGTCCGACTGTAACTGTGCCTCCAAGTCCTCTGGAGATACATAGTATTCCTGTTCACTGCCTTCAGGAGGTTTAGGTTTACACTTTCCACAGCAACAGTTACAGCAGCAACACAGACAGCAACAGCAGTAGCAACCTGTGATGAGCCCACAGAACACAAACAGGGCCTGCAGAGAAGAGAGGAAGAGAAAGAATACACACAACATGTAAGCTGCATCTTCTAACAAAGTGGTAGCTCCCATTACCTAACCTAGAGTTCTCACTACAGCAAAAGGTCAGTTTAAATGGGTTAATTATTTAAGCAGAGATCCTGCTGCTTTGGACATATGACTCCTCACTGGAATAGAATCAAACAAATATGAATATGCAGTAACAGCCATAAACATTCTAGTCCAGTGTGAGCACTGGGCTGCTGAGAGGGATTGGATAAACATGAAGAGCAACTCGAGGAAAAGCACTGTGGCAAAGCGACTGAAAAATAACAAAACATGTAGATGGCATCATGAGCTTCCGTGGGCACAGCCCACTTCATCCTCTGGTCATCTGAAGAAGTGGGCTGTGCCCACGGAAGCTCATACCACCACCTACATGTTTTGTAAGTCTTTAAAGTGCTACCACACTATTTGTTGTTTTTATCCTGTATAGACTAACTTGGCTACCCCCTGAAGCTAATGAAAAGTATTTCTTCTTTCCAATTCCTCTCCTGAGAAGGCCTAGGGTCAGGCTGCAGAGGGAAAAAGCAGAACCATCTAAAGGTAAGAATCTCATATTGTTTAGAACAGAACACTGCATCCCGAAGAAATTCCTGAAACTGGGTTATCTTGAGCTACTCTTTCAGCAGCACCCTAAGGAGCAGAGAATGCTAAGACTCACTCACAAAATATTAATAGGAATTTGTTTCCTCTTGCCCTTCACCAGACACCTATGGGTGTTCACAGTGGCATCCACTGATGGTAAAGTGCAAATCTTTCTGCACTGCTACCTTGGAGGTTCTTTTATTTCAGCCAATTATCCAGTCACTGATCCATTAGTGATACAACTATTTTCTCGCTCCAAAGGAGTCATGAGATGAAGGTGTTGGCAACTACGCAGGAAAACCTTTTCAATGCCTGAATAAAAAAAAAGACCAGGAAACAGTCTTAGTCAGATTTGTAGAATGGTAAGTGATGTCACCGTACTCAAGTATAATGAGCTAGAAGAGTTTGGATTTCCAAAGAATAGGTGTGGTTTCTAAGAAATTTAATTACTCATGACACATTTGGATGTGACATCTCTCCACCCCCCCAAAAAAAGAGAGGATGATTTAGATTATACATAACTCATCTCATTTTCTTTTAAACACTTTACAGACCTGACTACTAAAAATCTCAGTTGCAAGAGAACTCAAAAATGCAACTGAGTGCAGCAAGATAAAACCAGGATCAAGTAAAATACAAAGATTCTTCGGCACTGGCAACATTTATTCCCAGAAACTCTCCGCATAATATTTATTACACCTCCTGTTCGATGTGTATGAGAGACTATTAGGAGAGTTCTGGAGGAAACATGAGCCACAGTGTTATTCACTACAATGATAATATTCAGCTCTGCTCCCATTACATCAGAACTGGTAGGGTGCAGCAGAATAAATAAATAATCCATCATCTATGAAATTGAAAAGAGGACAAGGGCAAACTGGCTGAAGCAATGATGGCTGTTGAGGAAGAAAATGGGAACACTTATAGCGAGCTAGCCTGTTTATAATCTTGGAACATATTAGGCCTGGGATGGTTTTATACAATCTAATAGCAGCTGTTGCTTAAAAAAATAAAAAAATAAATAAAAACTCCTCCCTTCCCCCCAACACCATTTTAATCAGCGTCTCACTATGACACAGAATTGGTTACTGCTGTCTGTGCATTTGTCACTCAGATTACTGTGATAGGCTCTACCTGCGGTAGCACATAAAGACCTTGTGGAAGATCAAGATTGCTTCTGAACAGCATCATCTGCACTCTCAGGAAGCGCACACCACCAATATGCAGAGCCATACATTTCTGGGCTGTTATCAAAGTGCTTGATGTAATCTATTAAGCCTTAAAATGTTTTGGAACCTGTTGCTTGAAGGACCACCTTTCTTTCCTTGAGCACATTATCACAGTTCAGATCAATGCAGGTACCTAAGCTAGAGACCTCCATGCAAATGGGAGGGCATTCTCTGTGAGAAGATCCTCAGCTTTTGAATGTGCTTCCTTTATTGGTCTATGAGAGCTCACATTTGTTAGTCTTCCTGGTCATGCTACTAATCTGATTTTCTCTCTTAATCATTTAGGGAGGGTAAGGGTTCACAGGCAACAGAAACTGGAGGATGACAGAGGTCTGATTCTGTTAAATGACTGTCCTTGGGGTACAGTTTTTGTGGGAGAGTATTAATTGGAACTTGTAACTGGAAAGTTGATAAATCAAAGATTGTATAAAAAGATGTTTTAAATGTTGGGCACTGTCTAGAGCTATGGATAGGTGCTAGAAATATCAAACATTAAATAAAAGAGCATAAATATCCAATTATCAATAGCAGTATAGTTCCTTATTGAATGGCTAAGCATCTCTTCAGAATAAGTGCAAAGAAATCTTCATTTACCTTTGCCCACCAGCTGGACAGGACGAAGTATGTGTTCACATTCTCCTCTCCAAACTGCTCTGCTACATACAGACCCAAGGACCCATACTTATCATAAATGTTTCGTTTTGTGGCATCAGTCAATATTGCATGTGCATTGTTGATCTCTTTAAATTTATCTGCAGCCTCTGGATTATCTGGGTTCTTATCAGGATGATATTTCAATGCAAGTTTCCTGTGGAGTTGGGAAAAATAAAATCTCAGCTGCTTTTTTGCAATTCATCCTGCTACAATGGATAGATTGAGCTGTCCATCCTGCCACCCATCAAATCAGACATGCTCTCCAGTCTCAGGCAAGAGTATTTACAAAGTTAAGATTTACTTCACTTGTGCCATTCTAGTGCCCCCAAGTCTCCTTTAGATGGTAACAAAATCAATCTTTCTACATGATCTAACCCACTAGTCTAATAGAGTTCACGGGGTCAGTTTCAGATTGAGACTTCAGTACAAAGACGAAGGAAGCTCTCTTCTCTGCTCATCTGATCCAGCAATTTGTACTGCTCAGTTCTGAGTAGCAATGCTCCAATTGAAGGGACATATTTAACCATTTAGAAAGTGCAACAAACCTGTGACCTGGTTCTGAAAGCCACATTTGACAATGCTGCCATACTGAACCTGCAATGTCTAGCAAACTAAAAATAGAACTGACAAGTATTTGGGGTCAGTGCTGAAATTATTGTGCAGAAAAACTACTGTTCAGTTCAAGATGTACTTGTGATAGCATTAATGTTCCCAGTTACCAGATGTCACATAATCAGTAAAGACTCCATGAATGTTTCGGCAACATGGCTACAGTGGATCTGGAAATGTATATAATCTGTTGAGGGCACTGAATTTGGGAACTAAAGGTTCGTCTGATAGTCAAGTGCTCTCTAAATTTGAAAGTTCAGACACTTGGAACAAAAACAATCTCTGAAAAAAACCCTGGTAAATACCCTATTAATAGAATTGACAAGAAAATCACCTCACATACTTGATTTGAGCCACTGTAATTCTTCGGTACAAAATTAAGGTAATGCTACTAAACTATCCTTCACGGTTTTTTGTGGTGAGGGGAAATGGTTGTTTAACTTGCTACAGAAATGTGCCACATGGGACCTTAAATTAGTTGCTAAATTTTCAAAAATATGCATGGAAAAGTCTGTATGCAATTTGCATGGGCTATACTTAGGTGTGGAAATACCTGGATAGGCACATGAAAAATGAAAGCTGGAACCCAAATCTCGACATACACAAATACCAGAGTTTTTGCACATCTAAGATAAGCATGCACTAGAAACTCTGACCCTAGAAATGAAAATGTAAACTGGGGGTCTACTTTCTACTGCCACCAGTAATACCGTAGTCCCAATGAAGACACAGATTTTATATTTAGCATGATATATCAGATGTTCCAATTTACAAAGACGACTTACTCCTGCATCTTTATACTGCATAAAGCTAAATTTCCCATTACCTATACGTAAACACTATAAGAAATCCATGGGACAGCAAAGGAGTTGGCAGATGTCTTCACTACACAGTGCTCTGTAGTTTAATACAGATTACTTTATCATTCATATGAAACCATCATTGCATAGTGAGGCTGGGGAAGAGGTTTGCTTTTCTAGAGGAATGAAATGAGGGAATAAGTCTCAACTTTATAAGCATGAACAGTGCAGGAAGAATGTGGTCACAAAGAGTGTGTAAAACAAAATACAAAAGCGGGTTCATTTTCCTTAGCAAATCTAAGTAGGTGATCACTAAGAATAACTGTTTGCCATTTTCCCAGTAAGGTAAAAGTTGTGTGATAGGCTTATAGCTTTTATTGCCTCCAATTTCAATTAATTTTGAGATCGCTTTATCTAATCTTTGGATACTTGTGGGTCATCTTTTACCTTCACCATAATATTATTATTATAATAAAGAACAGATTTTAATTGTGCCTTTTTGAAAAAAAAAACAAAAATAAAAGGAAAACTATTTTCTTTCAAGAGCATCCACAAGCAAAGATCACTACTGACCCCTAGTGTAATGTTCAAACCACTGCCATTATTTAACTAACCGTATGGCACAGTAGCACAATATTTATGAGTAGCAATTACACAAGAACATTATTGCGATTCTTCCCTCTGCCCCCCGCAAAAAGATTGAACAATGGAACAATGCAAAGAGTTTCAGGTTTAAGGTTGAAAGTCAAACCTGGATCTTAAAAAAAAATCAGTTTCAAGTTTAGTATGAAAAAATGTGCACTATTTTTACAGATACTGAAATATACTGCCGATACAAGTTAATATACATCATTTGTATAGTCAATGCCTGTTCCTCTGCTCAGGGAACTAGACATGAACGGACACAGAAGGAACAGTACACAATTACGCTTCTTTTTGTGCTGGCAAGAAACTGCAGAAGTTCTAGGCTAAGACTTGAACTCTTAACACACTTGCCTAAACAAACACGTTAGCATGTTTCAATTTATATGAAACACACACTTGCCCAGTTGACACAAGATAGAAATAGATGTTTTCAGTGCAGAGAGCCTCTCTCGAACGGACACAGAAGGAACAGTACACAATTACGCTTCTTTTTGTGCTGGCAAGAAACTGCAGAAGTTCTAGGCTAAGACTTGAACTCTTAACACACTTGCCTAAACAAACACGTTAGCATGTTTCAATTTATATGAAACACACACTTGCCCAGTTGACACAAGATAGAAATAGATGTTTTCAGTGCAGAGAGCCTCTCTCGAAAGGTGT